CGCTCTTTCACCTTAATCCTGTTGTCTGGGGCGGGGAAAGACAGCCTGGTCACCGACATGCTGTGCAGGCGCACGGTCTGACAGGCAGCACGCACTCTAACCTGCTTCACGGTAGCTCAGGTGACTGTTACAAGCCATTTTGTTACTGGAAAATATTTAAATACACTTGTAACAAACTGGTATACATCATCTTCACCTGTAAGCTTTATAAACTCTACTAGGACCAGTTTTTGTGTTCATTTATCTCCTCCATGAGACAGACAGGGGGAGAGATGGGAGCACCCCCGTCAGGACCCTCACGCCATGGCCGACCCCCACCCCCAGCAGGCACGAGCTCAGGACCTTCTCACACAGCTGCACAGCACAGAGCACCCTCTGCTGCTCCACTGCAGCTGCCCAGACCGACCGTTTCCAACGGAAACTCGGCACCCTCATTAGGATGCACCGCTAACAAGGTACACACTGGCCTTCCAAGACTCAGTGCCGAAAAGACGCTACAAAATACCGCAGTTTCTCAAGTTGTTTACATTGTTGAAAGGTGAATATTCTGAATTGGGTTGAGAAAAAAAATTTTCTTAAAAGTAACTTTGCCTGCTCCTTTTCACACTTTTAACACAGCCGCCAGAAGCTCTGAAAGGCCACATGCGGCACATTCTCTCTGCTTCACTGAGCTGGTCAAGCTCTTTAGAGCATTTTTTCATTTTTTAAGGTTTGCCCTAAGGTGTATCTGCTCTCCAGAGAGACAGAGAGGGGGGAAAGTGAGGAATGACCCCCTGGGGGGACGGCCACACCACAATCCCTCCTCCTCCAACTGCTTCTGGGATCTGGAGCATGCACAGACATACGACTGGCGTGAGTTTCTTCTTCTTCTTCTTCTTTTTTTTTTTTAAGAGCAGCTTTTGCTATAGGGCATGAGCACTCGTCGAAGAGACAGAGAGAGAAAGCGAGAAATCACTCCCCACGGGGGATGACCACGCCACAACCCCTTCTACTCCACTCTCTTCTCGGGATTTTGGGCACACACACACACACACACACACACACGCCTAACAGGAGTTTCAAGCTGCCGGATCTGGGACTGGAACCGCAGTCGACGACGTGGGAGTCCAGCAACATGACCATTATGCCATCTGCTGGTCTCCCCCGCCTCCAAGTGATTTTCAAATCTCCAAGTTTGAGACTCAAACGCCCATCGGCCATGTGGGAGTCCAGTGCCATAACCGCCATGCCACCTGCTGGCCCCCAGTTTTTAATCAAGGACTCATCAGAAGAAAAGTGATTTCCTCATCTGAACAATTTACCACACACAAGACACTTCTGCACTGACGCGCCGAGGAGCAAGGGGGAAATGGAGGAATGACCCCCTGGGGGGACGGCCACACCACAATCCCTCCTCCTCCAACTGCTTCTGGGATCTGGAGCATGCACAGACATACGACTGGCGTGAGTTTCTTCTTCTTCTTCTTCTTTTTTTTTTTTAAGAGCAGCTTTTGCTATAGGGCATGAGCACTCGTCGAAGAGACAGAGAGAGAAAGCGAGAAATCACTCCCCACGGGGGATGACCACGCCACAACCCCTTCTACTCCACTCTCTTCTCGGGATTTTGGGCACACACACACACACACACACACACACGCCTAACAGGAGTTTCAAGCTGCCGGATCTGGGACTGGAACCGCAGTCGACGACGTGGGAGTCCAGCAACATGACCATTATGCCATCTGCTGGTCTCCCCCGCCTCCAAGTGATTTTCAAATCTCCAAGTTTGAGACTCAAACGCCCATCGGCCATGTGGGAGTCCAGTGCCATAACCGCCATGCCACCTGCTGGCCCCCAGTTTTTAATCAAGGACTCATCAGAAGAAAAGTGATTTCCTCATCTGAACAATTTACCACACACAAGACACTTCTGCACTGACGCGCCGAGGAGCAAGGCTAACGTGGCAGCTGCATCCTCACCCAAGTCCGGCGACGGGTGGGCTCTGCCGCCCCACTTCTCCTTGATCCACCTCCGGTAGTCGATCACTTCCTGAGTCACTTTGATGATTCTCCCTAAGGTACTGCAGAAAAACCATGGGCATCAGTGCAGCACGAGAAGGGTCAGGGAGGGTCAGGGATCAAAAGCCCCTCAGGTGCTGCCGTTCACCCACAACCACGTCACCATGTAGGTGAGGTGGTGGGCCAAGAGCCTTGGAAATCATCGTGCGAAACCTCTGTGACTTCTGATGTCTGAGCTCAAGAGCACACTGAGATCCCAGCACAGAAAAGGTGGGCTTACTGGCACAGAAGTCCTTGAGTCCACCCCTGTGGGGAGAAAACAGCTTCACCGCAGTTCTACGGGCCCGGCCTTCCCACCCAGTATGATCATAAAAGCCGCCATGCCACTTCCCACTGTGCAGGGGAGGCCAGGGGGAAGTGCCATGAGTACGTCCCCGGGCCGAGCTCCACGTGGACGCACTGTGAGTGGTCAGTCTGGGAACCCCACGCAAGTGCGACCACCACTGGTGTTTGGAGGGTCCTGGGGAGGCCTCGACACTCAGCTATCCTCAAGCCTCTCCCAGGCACAGACAGCTCTGACCCCGCCAGCACCGTCAGCTGGTTACTGCTCCTTCCCACTCCCACCTCAGGGTCTCACTCCCTACACCCTGCGCTGCCCCCTCCACTGCAGCAGCAGCCGCCTCCGGGGTCAGAAACAAATCCTTCCGCTGCGAGAGGGCATGCTCTACCACACGCTCCAAACAGTACTACAAAATCACAGACACGCACTTGCTTAGGAGCTGAGTATTCTACTTAATAAGTGCCTGGAAAAAAATATGCTTCCAAGTCTTAAAAACCAGAATTGGCTCCCAAAATAAAATACCCTGAAGAAATTGTCAATTCCCCAAATAAATATCCAACTCTCAACTGTGATGGACCATCGACCCCGGAACACCTGGACGGTGGACTTTCACAAACCTGCGCAAGTTCTGCCAAGCACAGCAGCATGTCCCTAATCTCCTTCACAGAAGGGGACAACCCAGGGAAGGGCAACAGCCACCCTCCAGGGGTGGTGAGACAGAACACGGGCACGCGGTATCAGTTACCTCTCAGAGTCTCTGTTCGGATAGGACCTCGCGAGTGGAGACACAGCGTGACTGAGGACAATGTAGGCATAGTCGAAAACCTGCTTCACCTGCATGGCCCCGTAGGAGCTCCGGCCAACGTCGTTCCCTGCAACGGAAAGGCAGCGTCACCGTGGGCCGAAACAGCAGCCCCTCCACGTCCTGCATCTTCCCAGCTGCTGTGACCCTTCCAGACCGCGGCAAGCCAGGTGAGCTGAGGAGACGCGCGTTCACGTGGAGCCCCACGCACGGCTCCCATGGGAGCACTGCGAAACCGGGCCTGCCCCGTCAGAACCCTGTGCTCCTGTCCCAGCTCCAAAGAGGTGTCCTCCACAAATGGAGAGACGATCATGAGCGAGGCCGAGCAGCCTCGCGTGGGAAAGACGGGCCCAGAGCCGGAGTCACAGAAAGCAGCAGCACAGACCGCTGTGAGCGTCGCCCCGAGGTGACAAGGTCTGTGAGCAACCGGCCAGCCGCAGAGAGGGCAGGCCACCGCAGGCACCTCGCAGCTCAGTGCCCACAGAACCTGCAGGATGCAAGTGCGCCCAAGGAAGGGGACGCTCGGGTGTGAGCACTCAGGACTGGTCAGACTGCGAAGGAAATGAAGCCCTCACTGAAGTGACCAAGTCGCCAAGAGGAGCTTAATTTCTACAAGAAAAGGACCATTTCAAACTTTAATTCACCTACACCTGTTCTTAGCAACTCAGTCTAGGTACCAATTGTTTTACAGAATTATTTATATAATTTTATTTACTCACTCATTTATTTTAATTTGACCAGAGAGAGGGAAAGTGAGAAAGCAAGCCACCAGGTCCAGGACTCAAACTGTGGTCAGCCATATGGGAGTATCTGGCGCCTTAACCACCACACCACCTGCTGGTCCTGGTACCAATTTTTTTTAAGGAAGCCTATTCCAAGTATTCAAATGTTACCATTTATAAATTTAATAAAGTAACCCTAGGGACAGCTCAAGCTAGTGGCTAAGGCAGATGGATCCCACACAGGTGACCACAAGGTTCAAGTTCTGGACATGGTAGCTCAAGAATACACCTGGTGCAGCTGCATGCTGCTGAAACCCCAACAGAGTGGGGAGATGGAGGAGGGACTGCAGCACGACCATGCTCGGGGAGGGCGCTGCGTCCTCGCTGTCTCTCCTCCAGTGCACATACCCTCTGGGAAATTTTAAAATATAACAACCCAATGATGGTGTAGTTCCCGCTTTTCAGTACTTTCAGCAGAGACCTCAAGACGCTGGACAGTTCCAGGTCTGACTGAGCCACAAACAGCGGGAGGAGACAGGCCGTGCCCCGAGGAACCACTGCTCTAAGCCACAGCACCAAGCAGGTTGCTTAAAAACGACAACAAAACGCAACAGCCAGTGCATTTTCTTTCAAAGATTTTTAGGGAGACCCAGGAGCCATAAAAGATAAATCATTAAATGTTAAGATATTTATAAAAGATATATAGGAACTGAGTAATAAAAAACATCAAGAGACAAACTGGAGGGGAAACAGCAGCATAGCTGTATGAAGACCAAGGTTCCCCTTGGGACCAGCAGACGGCGTAATGGTTATATCGCTGGACTCCCATGTAGTCAACCATGGTTCAAGTCCTGGACCCGGTGGCTTAAAACTCACGCTGGGCACGTGCGTGTGCATGCTCAAAACCCGAGAGGAGAATGGAGGAAAAGGGACTGCAGTGTGGCCATCCTCCCAGGAGGTTCTCACTTTCGGTTTCTCTCTGGCAGCACACGCATCCTATAGCAAAAAAATCTCTTTTAAAAAAAGAAAGGAAGGCTCCCTCACAGACTCTCACACCAGCCAGAGAACAGGCCAGTGGGCAGTAGACTGGCACAGGGCCGCACAGAGGAACAAGAGGCAGTGCACCCACAGCAGTGCGCCACGTGTTCTGTCTCAGTCCACCCCTGACTTCGTCAAGTCACCGCGTGTCTCACGTCACAGATGCCCAATGGGAATTAGTAACAATGCATTTAACCCCACTAATCTTTACAGAAATATAAACGGAATGTTGTATGGCATGGTTTATCAGATTGCAACACCACAGAGGACTGTTACCAAAGATTGGGGATACAGTCACCGTCAGGACGCCAACGAGGCCCAGCCTCAGGCAGGTCCACATGGCATGCTTATAATGCAGAGTGACCTGCACACATAGGGAAGGCGTCTGGGGACACCAGAGTCAAAACCAACCCAGGGTCAGCCAGCGGTATAGCAATTAAGTGGCCAGATCCCACATGGTCGACTTGGCGGTTCAAGTCCTGGACTCAGCGGCTTGAAAAACACTGTGCCCAAAAACCTCAGAAAGATGGAGAAGAGACTGTGGCATGGCCATCCCCCAAGGGAGTGATTTCTCACTTTCTCTCTCTCTGACTCTCCAGCGAATGCATCCACCCTACAATGAAATAAAAACCACCACCTGCAAATCTATGTGTGTATAGGAAGCTATATGATTGTAAGATGGCAATAATAAATGCTGGTGTCCACGTAGGAAAACACCTGAGAAAGGCACGTCCGACTTGGAGGAGATGGCGGCGTGCTCCACTTTTCTGTTACGTCCTTCCAGGAAGCGACTGCTTACGGGGAACACGCACTGCATCCGTCCCGCCACGCAGGTTGGCGGCACTGTACGCGGTTTGACAGCGAGTCACTGAGAAGAACTGGGGAATGACCGCTGGCAGTGTCACTCTGTACTCAGTACCGCAGGGAGTGCAGCAAGAGCAGACACACCTCTCCAGCTCCCAGGCCCCACACGACCCGCGCCCCGTGCCGGTTCCCAGAGGTGTGAGCCGGGGCCTTACCCGGCAGCAGGGGATCCTCAATGCACAGCATCGAGGGTCTGTGCCCGCTGGTCATGGCTTTCATGATCTCTTCTTTGGCGATATAGGCACCTCCTTCCTTTATTCTAATACCAGTTTTCAAGTAATTAAAATTTCTTCCATAGAGTTCAAAAAATTCTACGAGAAGCATTCCAAGGTTTTCGTCAGCTCTCCGGGCATCAATCCTGGGATGCAACTGCAAAAGCAACACATATCCCATATGGGTGCAGAAAGCAGTGCTGGGCGAAGTCTGCCGTTCAGCAGCGTCTTCACGGCGACACCGCCCCTGACGACAGGAGGCCTAAGCACAGAGGCCCTGACAGAGCAGGACGACTGTCGGTGCAGAGTGGCCAAAGGAAAGGGAGCACCGCAACCTGGATTTGTCAAACTTAGTTTTTGAACTCAGCAACCCATCTGGCCACTTCGTACAAGCACAGACATCTTACTGACCGCAAGTTGACTGAGTCTGCACATTTCAGTCATCCGGCGGTGGATATAATTTTGCACATTTTACTTATCTTAGTTTTTTACTCTGAACTACAACCAATAGGGGGCAATACCGATCCAGCACTGCCACAGCTTCCCAGAATCCAGACTGAACTGACAGGTGGGAGCTGTGTGGAGGTAACCAGTGTGCCAGGCATTCACAGCACAGTCCCTGCTTGTCACACGGACTGGCATCAGCTCGGCGTGGCACCGAGCCACCCTGAGGAGAGTGCCGGATTTCCTGGGCCTGAACCACTGTCTTCTGAGCATCACTGACTCACAGAACTCCAAATTCTCAGCCGTCCAGACCTGCACGCCCCATCGTGGCTATTTCCACTTCAACGAGTTAAAACAAATTAGTCAAAAGTTCAGCTTGTCAATCCCAAGAGGCACACTCCGAGTGTTCAACAGCCATGCACGGTTCGTGCTATCTCACGGACTGTGCAGGCCCAGAGCACTGTCAACTGCCCGGAGGAGCCTGGGCCATGCCAACCTAGAAAAGCAGTCAAATCCACGGCTGGCCTGTGGCGAGTGTTCAGAGGAAGAGCAGCTGCCGTCACTGCCCCACGGTTCATTCAGCCCATTCAAGTTGGAGTAAAGGAAGAGATGGGGTCAGAACAGCGGCTGTGTTCAGTTCAGGACAGCATCTAAACCGTGGAAGGATGGCTTTATGTGAGGACACAAGGGAGGCAAGATGGCATGGCTGGAGTGCTGCTGTCACTATGCCAAGGCAGTGGCACCAGCACGTCCACCGTCAGCAGTGTCGATGAGAGTGCAGGAGCACCCCCGTTCTGTGCAGACCTCACTCCACACAGCCGCAGTTACCAGAGTGGTTACAAACATGCAGGACACAGGTATGCAGCTAAATTACGTAAGTGAGACTCGGTAAGGAGTAGAGAACCTTCCAAAAAATGTAAATGGGATAATTACGGTTTCCATCAACTTGGAGCCGACTGAAGTGTACTGAGAGTGGAAACGGCTTATCAGTATGTCACTGCATCTGGCACAGGGGAGGCGGGCAGGTTTTCTATCAATAGATGCTCCATCATGTCACTGAACAAAATAAGCACCCCGTACACGAAACACGGCGTTGGAGGAGAAAGGCTCTCTCTTCAACTCTTCCCCACGTGTGGAACCCAGCTGTATTCTGAGACAAAGTGTCTTTGGGTAAAAATCAAAGACAAGTGTGTAGAAAAGTAGCTTTTTATCATCTGTCCCGAGATAAATGTTTTCTCAGTGTTCTTTCTATACTTAGTGCTTCGAGGGGGCCAGCCCGGGGCATGGAGGTGAAGGCAGATGGATCCCACACGGCCAAGTCCGTGGTTCGAGTCTCGGAGCCAGTGGCTTAAAAATCATGCTGGGTCTGTGTGTGCATGCCCACAGTCCTGAGAAGGGAATGGAGAAGGGACTGCAGTGTGGCCGTCCCCCCAGTGAGTGACTTCTCACTCCATTCCTACTACCAGTCTCTCTCTGGTAAGCACACATGTCCTAAAGCAAAAAATTAAAAAAAAAAAAAAAAAAGCTTCCTTAAGCTTGAATCTTCATACACGACTTACAGAACCAAAACAGCACTCCCACCCAATGGCCAGTCGGCTCAACATACGCTACAGCAGAGAGCAGCACCGATCGAGACAGGTCACGAGGAAATCAGAGGTCGGTCCCCAATATGTGACGGCTGAACAGTACAGGGACTTCAGGACTGCTGGGACCCACAAAGCCAGCGCCAGAACACCCACCGGGGCTCACCCTCTCATAGAACCCTGCCAGCGTTCTTGGCAAGGAAAGCACACGTACCTGCAGAAAGCTAATGGCCATTAAAATGAGGCTGTAGGAGCTAATTCCACCTGTGAAAACTTCATTCAGGTCCCTCTGCAGGAGGAACTGTTTCAATACTAAAATCAAGTAAGGCAGCAATGAATATTTCTGCAATTCCAAAAGAAAAAGATTTACTGGTTAGTGAACATGCTTGTCCAGAAATGTCATACTAGCAATTTCCCGTGACAGGAAGAAAAGTGTCATCAATCCTGCTACATCTCAAGGCTCCCGTCAGTCTCAAACTTCAGAAGGCTTGAGGATTCATTTCCTGAGAGGCTTCAGGGAAGTCCAGGTTGTGGGGTCCCATCCCCAGACTACCACGGGACGAGGACTGGGGCCTGGCAAGCCCCGCGGCACTCCGGAGTCTGTGAGCACGATCAGCTGAAGTTCCGCTGCTGCTCAGGCTGAGAGGCAATGCAGAGCAGCCGGGAGGGGGTGGCCCACTGTCCTGGGCAGAAATGCTTCAGCCCGGACCATGCTGCAGAGGACAGGGGACACCTGAAGGAGCAAGGCCCTGAAACACGAGTCGGGATGGCAGCCGGTGCGGAGATAAGGGCGTGGGACTCCCACACGGCTGACCATGCTTTGAGTCCCGGACCTGGCGGCTTGCTTTCTCACTTCCCCCCCACCACTTTGGTCAAATTAAAATAATAAATAAAGTTAAATAAAATAATTCTAAAAAAAAAAAAAAGGTTAACACAGGGCAGGATGGGGTTTGGGAGGCACAACACAGAGAGCTGCCCATGAAGGGCTCCAGGCATCCACCCACCGAGGGAAGCGAAGGCCGCCTGCTGGACCTCACTGTTCTCTGGCCAGAGTGCAGACAGGCTGGCTCAGCCACGGTCAGCCACCCCATCCTCAGCCCCGGGACCATCCTGGGGAGCAAAGCTACGACTGTGGCACCCGACTGCCCTCACACCCCACACCACACTTGCAGAGGAGGCACAAGGGCTTGGGCAGCATCACGTGGCGACGGCAGAGGAAAGGGTTAAGGACCACTCCAAAGTGACGCCCAGTGTCGTGAATGGTTACTGGAGAAAAGCAGATCTGTGAAAAGGCCACGTGGCTTCCAAGTGTCTCCAGAAAGGACACTGCAGAATAAGCTAGAAGGGCGCTGCCTGGCTCATCAAAGACGCCTCCGTGCAGCTGCGCAATTTCATGCTTCCACAAGAAACGCCACCAGCAGGCGTCCCCAGGGCCCTCCTCTGCGCCGGGCAACCCGCCAGCGGCAGTACCTTCATGTAATTCTTGATGAACTCCGCTGCCCGCACGCCGGTCTCCATGTTAAAGCTGATGTCCACTTTCACTTCGGTCTCCTGGTCTGTGAGTTTTATTATGGGTACCTACAAGGTTTAAGTGAGAGAGTTACAGGCAGACGGCGGGAGCATGGGGGACAGCAGCTTACGACTGCCTGCCCGTCTCAGAGCAGCTACCAAGAGACTGAAGCCAACACGGAGAGCTGAGACGGCCGCGATGAGAATACGCTCGCCCCACAGTCCTTACGCACTGCGCTCCACACGCACCACGACTCCAAGTAGGGAAAACTGCCTAAGTATGCCACCTTCTCCATGGTCACGCAGCGAGACGCTTCCAAAGTTGGAGAGGTTTTAGCTTTTGCCAGGTGTTACCACCAAGGCCCCTCAAGCAGCATCTAGGTCCTGGCCTCACCCTGCAGGCTCTCTGCACTGCCCCCAGTGGCCAGGTTCCACAGTGCGGGGGGCTGGTGGACAGGCAGGGCCAGGGGCATCTGGAAAACAGGTGTCCTAGGGAAGAAGGTAGCAGCAAACAAGAACACCCGGACCCCACAGGTCCCCTCTGGTCTTCTCACCCCCACTTGTGCTTGGTAGAAGTTTGGAAAACATTCAAAGTAACTTCAAAACCATTTTTAAAATTCTATTTTGTATAGTTATTTTTTTCTCCAAAGAGTACTAGATTGGGTTTTCACTCTCTAAGACAATTTTATCGAAAAAGAAATGAGTTGAGCTATTTCAGAAATCCTCTCTTCAGCTGGTCACTGCAGTAATGCAGGCATATCACAGGGCCTGACCCTGGCTGGCACGGGCAGGGGCAGGGGCAGGGATCACAGCGCGGGGTGAGGTGGGGCTGCTGGGGGTGCCTGACTCTCCCCTCATAAAAGGGAAGAAGACCCTCTCACCAGCAGGTATCAGTACCAAGCAAGACCAGCCCCATAAAAGCTGCCCAACAGCCACTCAGACCATATCCACCTCTCACCCCAAAACTGTTCTTCCAGAGAAAAGGCAACCCTGTGTTCTTCTGCCCCGAGGGAGTGAAAAGGCACCCCTTTCATCAAGACCACCAGGGGCTTGACCAGCAGGGGCTCGGCTGTCCCGTGACCCTGCACACTGGCCGGTTCACTCACGACACCTGGTCTGGCAGTCGACCCACACCTGGGGCGTGTGAGGAAAGGACAGCATGGGGACAGATGCCCAGGTACTGGGCCACCACAGGGCAGACTGCACTGCAGGCCAGGCATCCAAGAAGGCAGAGAAACAAAGCGTGTCCGAAGAACTCACCAGAAACTTCCAGAAGGAGTGCGGTGCTCAAGGACCCCACCTGCCCTCCGTTAGGCAAGGAGCCTAATGTCTCCTCCTAGACACACTGGGCTCACCATGGACATCCCTTTGCACACTTGGGACTTGTTCCCAAAGCCCCCCCGCGCTCTCCTGCTTTACACAGTCACACTCACTCACTCGCGCCCCCCCCTCGGCTCTCGCCTTCACTTTCAGCACAGTCCCCAGCCCTGCTCCCACGTCCAGGAGACTCACGGAGAAGATGCACGGGAGACGTGAGAGGGCAGCGGGCTGCAGCCGGGGTGCCCAAGGGGACATCGTGGGTGAGCCCCCTCAGGCAGCAGGTGGAGAGGCCATGGTGCCCACTGCTGCCGCAGGGAGAAGGCCACTGGGACCACACACGACCACAGCAGCTGCTCCGTGTCCTGTCTGTCCTACAGACCACCTGGAACCCAGGACCCTGGAACCCCGGCTCCTTCAGCACCTTCACGTCTAACGTCTGGTCCGAAAACCCCATGCTCCTGTTGCTGTCTGGAGGGCCTCACTTTCGTCCACTGAGCAGACACAAGTGGTACAGCCAGAAAAGTGGGGAGATGGAGACCCTAAAAAGGGCCAGGCCCTCACTAGTGCACAGGACGAAGGGCAGGGATGAGACTCAAGTGCACATCTACAAGAGACCCACGCCAAATGTGCAGTCGAGGCGCTGGCCCATCTGGCTATGTGACCCACCTGGGCTGATGGCCTCACCTCCCCTGCTTCCACCCTTCGGTGTAAAACGGGGACGGCAGCACCTTGTCAGGGAGTCCTGGGAGGACTCCGTGCAACAGCCTGGAAGCCTGGAGGGGCTGGAGCATGTCCCCAGTGCTGGACGCAGGGACAGACAGGCCCACCCGGGAGGGAGGCCAAGGGCGCTTCTTGGCACTGTGTCTGCTGCTCCCCCCATGCCTCCAGTGGGACAGGCGCCTGTTCTGGGAAAATGTGGTCATCTCTGCATTCTCCAGTGAGTACACAGGTTGCTTCCAGGACCCCAGCCTAAATCAAGAGACCCGACAAACGCAGGGGAGAGACCTGGACTGCCTTCACCACGGGCGGGCACCACGGGGCTCCCACCCCGACCTAGCCGATCTGCTTCCGCCAGGAGGATGCGGACCGCGCATCACTGCAAGCCAAAGCACCCAAGAGAAACAGCCGCCAGCCTCCGCACAGGCGAGCCAGGGACGGTACAAGACAGCTACTGCG